GTAACCAGCAAAAGTAGACCAGTGGCAGATGTAATTAGTAAAGTACCATCACCATAATTGTAAAATCACTAACATTAATAGAAAGAACATTGAGGGTGTGATTATCTTATAAAAAACAAGTGAATTATCCAAAGTTGATAAAATGGCTACTGAAACAAGGCTCATGTCTACACTCATTCGTCCTCCTGGCTGTGCAACCTAGCTAGCTTGTTAGTAACAACAATATCAAGCTGAGCAGCTCTCCACAATCTCCTTCCTCTTCCTTGTGGAGGCATCATGAACAATCTCTGCACAGTATGTCCTATAAAGCAAGGGAAAACAGTAAATAATTGGAATGAAAAAAGTCAAAACTGAATGTGTAATGAATCTTTGAAAAAGATTTAAGATAGCTGTTGTGCATTATGAGCAGCTCAAGCTTTTTCGCGTTGTGCACGACAAACTTCTTAGGCCATTTGGAAGATAATGACGAGTATTTTGTTTGAGCCATAACCAATGTTGGGCATCAAAGAACATCCCTTGAACTTTCTTTGAACCCAAAATCAACACTCTTTACTTTAATGTTTTTCACAAGATTGAAAAACATGTTTTTCTTTTATTGTAAATCTCAAAAACAAATGCCAAAAGCCCAAATACTACGGACTTTCTAATAACCTTGTGTTGATAAGGACCATGAAGCTGGGTCCAGCCTACTTTTAAATAACAAAGGCTTGGCTTCAATCGAATGATTGTTTCGTATTGATCATTTGCAGTGTCAACATCTCGCGTGCCCCACCATTCACCAATCTAGCTTTCAACTTCAAATACGTTGATAGTATATATAATATTCTTGCATTTATAGTTAAGGGCATCTATGTCATTACATCCTAGTGTATACAAGTATAAATAGCTTGTAACCCTACATTATAATGTGTTGAGATAATTGTTCTACCGCATGGTATCAGAGCCTCCTAATTTGGCACCAAACTAATTCTCTAGGTTCTCCAGGTTCTTCTTCTCCTCTACTAGTTGTTCTTAGATTCCTCTTATTCTTTGATTATGTCTTCATTCTCCTCTAATTCTTTGGTAACATCTCCTCTTATGACTCCACTTCCAACTAGTGTTCCTTCCTCTAAGACCTCATCAATCCTGTCTCATCCAGTGTTTCAAGTATCAAACATCAAAAACTATGTTTCTGAGACCTTAAATTACCAGAATTTTACCTTGCGGCATGAATTGATGATCCCTGTCCTCAAGAGCAAGGGTGTTTATAGCCACATCGACGAAATAGACCCCTGTCCGCCAACTAGAAGTCTGAATTTTGATGATTAGATGCAAATAGATTATCAAGTGCTTTCATGGATTCAACCCACTATTTCCTCTAAAGTACTTCACATGATTATACAGCCTAGAAAAACTATCAAAGCAAAAATTGCTTGGGAAGCAATTCACACTGCTTCAGGATCAACTATTTGCAGTTGCTATTTTTCATCGTCAAGAGTTCTATTCACTTTGGAAGTCACCAGAAAAATCAATGATGGAATACTTACAATATGTTAAGACTCTTGCTGATAATCTTCATGATGCAAAGGATCCAGTGACTGATTGAGAATTGGTTCTACGGACCTTGGCTGGTCTTGATAGCACTTATAGTGTGGCCAAACGAACACTACCTCAACGTGTTCCGTTTCCCTCTTTCCTGGAGCTCAGATCCCTACTACTGATTGAGGAAGCTAATTTAAAACAGGAACAGATGCATTCTTCTTTCTCTCATGTTACCCTTCGCAATCCACAATTGCTACAAACCACAGTGTTGCCTTCTCCAGATCAAAAATTAAATGGCTCACATCCTTAGGTTTATCTCATTGACCCCCAATCTCGGTTTGATTTTTCTGGTGCTTCAAGAGGCTATAATAGAGGCTCCAACTGAGGGGGAAGGCGTGGTTCTCAAGGTGGTTCAGGTCGAAATTTTAGTGCTCATCAAGGCAATTATTAAATTTATGGTAATGCTACTAGCCAGGGATTTAACTAGTTTCATGGTGGTTTTGGTTCTACTTACTGTGGTCCTCCCAATTCCTTCAATAGTGGTCTGTCTCCTTTATTGCCCACACCTCAGCAAGCTTTCTTAGGGCCAACCTATCAACTCTGTGGCCATATCACTCACCAAGCTCATGACTACCATCTCTGGACAAGAAACTCCGATACACCGTCACACCATACCTACTTTGCTGCTTCTAACTATCCTTCTAGCATGGACTCAAACTGGTATATTGATTTGGTGCTCAAAGTCATGTGACAAACAATTCTGGCAATCTTTCTGATCCCTTGCCTTCTGCTGGTTCTCATTTTATTCATGTAGGTGATGGCAATTTACTTCCTTTCACATATACTGGTCATTCTCAATTATATTTGTCTGGTCATCCCTTTAAACTCAATAATGTCCTTGTCTCATGGTCTATTAAAAAAAAATTAATTTCTGTTCATCAGTTTACTAAGGATAATGATTCTAGTATTAACTTTGACTCTACTAGTTTTTTTGTCAAGGACAACAAGACGAAGAGTGTCCTCCTTCGTTGCAATAGTTTAGGGGGATTATATTCTTATTCCAATTTGTCTACTTCAGCTGCCCTTTCTACTACGTCAGTGTCATCATCTCTTTGGCATCTCCATCTTGGTCATCCTGGTTCAGAGTCTTGTACTCAGCTTGTCAATCGTGGTCTTCTTCCTACAACTCCGAAGCTGCTTCCTTCAGGTACTTGTCATGCTTGTTAACTGGGAAAGCATGCTTGTCTTCCGTTTTCAGAGTCTAGATCAATTGCTTTAGCACCATTTGATTTAATTCATTATGATATTTGGACTTCTCTTTTTACTTCCTTTAGTGGTGTCAAATATTATCTTTTGCTAGTTGATGATTATAGTCATTATTTGTGGGTTTATCCATTAAAATCTAAATCAGAGGCCTCTTCTTGTTTTGTTCATTTTTCTACTTATATATTCACTAAGTTTGGTGCTTAAATTAAGCTTTTCAATGTGATAATGGTAGAGAATTTGATAATTTACAATTTGCTCATTATTTTCAACAGCATGGTATTCACCTTCGCTCTTCATGTCCCTCAACTCCTCAACAAAATGGGAGAGCCGAGAGAATGAATCGCACAATCATTAATACGGTGTGATCTTTATTGTTTCACGCAAATTTGCCTAGTGAATTTTAGGTGGAAGCACTTTATGTGGCTGCCCATCTTATTAATATTTTACCAACCTCTAAGTTACAATTTTTGACACCTCATGAGGTATTTTTTGGTTCACCACCTACTTATACTCATCTTCGTTCCTCTGGCTGTGCATGCTACCCAAACCTATCAACTACTACTGCCCATAAATTAGCCCCTCGTTCCACACTTTGTGTCTTTCTTGGTTATCCTACACATCACAAGGGTTACTATTGTCTTGATTTACAAACCAATAAAATTATTCTCTCTAGGCATGTCACCTTTGATGAAACCATTTATCCCTACAGCACCATTCACCCACCCTCTAGCTTCAGATCTGTATCTTCCTTTCAAACTCCATTCCATCTCTTTGATTTGCCCTTACACATGTCTCACCATAGTTCTTCAACCCCATCACATGATCGTGCTACTATCTTGGTGTACTAAAATCACCCTAACAAGTGTACTAGTCGCTCCAAGTAATATAATAATGAGAAGAGTGTCGAACTCACAAGGATTGTATTTAACTAAGTACCAAAATAATTAATCCAAATTTATTTGAACAATCAAAAAAGAAGAAAGTTCGATTAAAAAATAATAAAAAGAAAATAACAATTAAAATCAAACTAATCAAGACATGAGGTACTAAGACATTGACTTCACCATAATCAATTAATATAAATTTTGGATTAATATGCTAATTTGTTGAGTGTTATTGCATGTGATGGTGGATTTCCCTAAATTAATTAACTAACTTTCTCAAGTCAAGTTAATCATTTACTTGTTTGTTAAATTAATCATATCTCTATGTAATTTTAAACAAACTAATGAGCATTAAATTCTATGGAAACCTCTAGTTTAAGAAGGGGGAGCTCCTAACTCTCTTCTCTTTTTCCACTACCACATGTGAGCTAGTTACCTCTCGGACTCATAGTCTAACACACGGTTTATATTATTATTGGTTTAATTTACACAATTCTTTCTCAAGTTCATGCATAAATCACTAAATCAATTGAAAGATGATTAGGCTTCCAATGTATTAAGTTCAATAACACAAACTCTTCATACAAATAACTTTAATTGAAAATATAAAAGTCATAAAGTTTATATTAAATTGATTAGGTTACATCATAACCCTAGTAGAATAAATTATTTCATAATAAAAATGATAAAATCTAATTTATAGTCATGAACATAAGAATATCTAAGGAAAAACAAAACCTAATTTGAGGTAATTAAAATCCGTGATCTTCTATTGTTAATGGATCCTCTATCTTGATCTCCAAGAATGCCCAAAAGAGGGCTACCACCAGCCTCCACTAAACTCTCTTAATTCTGAATTTGGATGGGTATTTATAAGATTTTAGAAATACTAATTAGAATAGAAGCAGGACTTGAAGTAGAATAGGAAAGTTGAAATTTGGACGCTGAACGCATGGTATTGATACCTCAAATTATGTGTCGACACAAAACAAGAAATAGAAAATCTAATTCTAGACGTTTAATGCATGGTATCGACACCTCGATTATGTACTGACACTACATCGGTGTAGGGTTTCTGGTCTCTTTTTTGCAATTTCTTCAATGGTAAAATATCAAATATAGTCCTCCATCTTTTTTAAGATGAGCACTTAGATCCCACAACTCAAGATTCATTCATTTAAGTCCCAAAGAAGCGCCCTTCTTCTTGCAATTCAGTCCCTTAACTTTCAAAAAATATTCAATTAATCTCAAAAACTTTTATTTTTATGCATTCAAGTCCTTTTCCGCACAAAAAATGTGAACCATGTAAAATCTCATAAAACTCATCCAAATATCAATAACATCAAGGTAACAATTCCACATTAATATGTATATAAATTCAACTCATCATGTCTCACCTTCATTACCCATGAAAAGCCCATCGTCATCACCTACCCATGGCCCATCATCCTCACCTTCCCATAACCATGGCCCATCATCATCACCATCCCATAACCATGGCCCATCATCATCTCTATCGTCCTTATCTAGTTCCTTATCCCTATTAAACTTTCTCAGCCACACAAATAGCAACACGAAGGATCATGTTGCTACTCCACTTGAATCACTTCATCAACCTCTTGCCACTCACAAGTCCCATCCTACGGTTACCCACTTGCAAGATGGCACTCGTAAGGTGCGTGTTTTACCCTCCATGGTTGCTCTCACCTCCCCATTTCAGGAACCCAAAACTTTTAAATAGGCTAATCAATTTCTTGAGTGGTGGGATGCTATGGTGGAGGAGCATTCAGCTTTGCTTCGTAATAATACTTGGGTGTTGATACCCTGTCCTCTGAATGCTAATATTATTGGCTCTAAATGGGTGTATCATATTAAGCAGCGTGTTGATGGTACTTTGGAAAGATATAAGGCTCGCCTTGTGGCTCAGGGTTATACTCAACAATTGGGGATTGATTATGGTGAGACTTTTAGCCCTGTGGTCAAGTCGGTGACTATTCGAACAATTTTTGCTCTTGTTGTTTCTCGCTCCTGGTCGATACATCAACTTGATGTTAAAAATGAATTTTTGAATGGTAATTTATCTAAACCAGTTTACATGGCTCAGCCACCTGGCTTTGTTGATCAAAAGCATCCTGATTATGTTTGTTTATTGAAGAAGGCTTTATATGGTTTAAAATAGGCTCCTCATGCTTGGTTTCAATGTTTTGTTACTTTTCTTTTCTCTCATGGATTTGTGCAAGCCTTTTCGGATTGTTCCATGTTTTTATTTTGTTCTGGATCTTTGATGGCAGTGTTATTTCTTTATGTGGATGATATTATTCTTACAACGTCTACCTCTAGCCTATTATAGTCCATTATTTTATTGTTGAAGCATGAATTTTTTATGATGGATCTTGGCCAGCTTAATTACTTTCTTGGTGTGTCGACTACTTTTAATTCTGTTGGTTTATTTCTTTGTTAGACCAAGTATATTACTAACTTATTGGACAAGAGTGGTATGACTGATTGCAAGCTTGTTTCTGCCCCCTTGACATTGAAACATAAGTTGTGGCTCCATGATATTGCTCCATTTTCTGATGTTACTCATTATCGGAGTGTTGTTGGTGTTTTACAATACTTGACCTTCACTTAGCCTGACATTGTTCATTTTGTGCACCAAGTATGTAAGTACATGCATGCTCCTACTCAAAATCATTTTCAGGCTGTGAAGCGCATTCTTCGTTACTTAAAGGGTACTATTCATCATGGGCTTCAATTATATCGTGACTCATCTACTTCCTTGCATATTTATACTGATGCTAATTGGGCTAGTTGTCTTGATACTCGTTGTTCTACATCTGGTTTTTGTTTATTTTTGGGACATTCTCTTATCTCCTAGTCTTCCAAAAAGCAACATATTGTTGCTTGTTCTAGTGCAAAGGCTGATTACATGGCTATGGCTAATGCAGTTGTTGAGGTTCTGTGAGTGCGACAACTATTGGTGGAACTACATGTTTATCTATTCTCACCTCCTATTGTTTATTGTGATAATCTCAGTGCCATTTACATGTCTTTAAATCCTATTTAGCATCAGCGCGCGAAGCATATTGAGGTTGATATTCATTTCATTAGGAAGAAGATTGCATCTCAACTTGTGACACTTCAATATGTTTCCTCCTCCTCCTAGTTGGCAGATATTCTCACCAAGTCCTTATCAGCCCCAGCCTTTATTGGCCAAAGGACCAATTTGTGCGTACTTTGTAATCTCGCCCAAATTGCGGGGGGATGATAGTATATATAATATTCTTGTATTTATAGTTAAGGGCATCTAAGTCATTACACCTTAGTGTATACAAGTATAAATAGCTTGTAAACCTAAATTGTAATGTGTTGAGATAATTGTTCTGCCGCATACATATCTCGAATCTCAATCTCTACCACTTATCTCCAGGCATCGGTACTTACGCTAATTCGAGAACCCTTACTTCCAAGTTCTTCCTTATGCGTTTTCATATTCCAAGATGATGGCTGGTTACTCGGAAAGTTATAGGCCTGATGATGCATTGAAAAATTTGACAACATGCCCGTTCTGTTTCGTGGAATTCAATGATTAAAGGGTGTTTTGCAATGTGGGGATTTAGCTATGGCTAGGAAGCTATTAATTTGATCAGATGACTGAGAGGAAAGTTGTTTCTTGTACATCGATGGTACATTAATTGGTATTTGCAGTTTGGGAGAGTTGAGGGCACTGGGACTCTGTGAGGTTGTTTTTTGAGCTGCCTGTCTGGATATTGCGTTACGGAGCTTAGTGGTTTATGGAGATTTATTTTGATTAGCTTGGGAGAGTTAGGATGCTGTGAGGTTGTCCGAGGGAATGCCTTGTCGGAATGTGGTTTCAAGAACTCCAATGATTGGCAGGTTTTGATCAGAACATTCACTGGTTTGCTTTCTGCCTTGGGTATATTAGATTAGTCCACTAAATTGAAGGTCCAACACGATGTCTGTATAGACTATGGAGACATTGAGAAGTCAGAAGCCCACTGACTGGAGAAATGAGTTTGAAGACGTGGCTGGAAGAGTAATTCTCGTGTGCTGTAACTTGGGTTGCGGATGCAATTTGTTGGAGGAACAACATTTTATTGCCAAAGCTAATTGTGTATCTTCTGTTCTGAAACTGGCTTTGGATTGAATCGCCAAGAAACATGACAGATGCTGTGGCGATACCTGAAAGGATGAAAATCTTAAGGATGCCACAGAGATCCAACGAGATAAAAACGCTACTCAAGAAAAAGCTAACCAAGAAAAGCTAGAAATCTATTTTCTCTTTTCCTTATGGAAAAAGCATCGCGAAACGTGGATCATCAAATTGACATTTTTTCTTAAAAAGTAATTAACAATGCACAACGTAGAAATTAAAGAAGCAATATGGGACTGTGACCCTTCCAAATCTCCAGGACCAGACGGATTCAATTTCAGATTTATCATGTCAATGTGGGATGTTATAAAAGCTGATATTGTCAACTTTGTTCGGGAGTTCCAACAGCATGGTAGAATGGTCAAAGGGTCAAATGCTTCCTTCATTGTGCTAATTCCAAAATCAGAAAATCCACAAGCAATTGAGGAATTTAGACCAATTTCCTTGATAGGAGTCTCTTACAAAATCATTGCTAAGCTTCTAGCAAATCGTTTGCGGAAGGTGCTGCCCAAGGTGATTGGGGAGCAGCAGATGGCTTTTATCGAAGGTAGGCATTTAATGGACGGAGCAGTGATTGCAAATGAGGTTATTGATGAGGTTAAGAGGAAAAAGAAGAAGGGATTTCTATTTAAAGTCGATTTCGAGAAAGCCTACGACAAGGTATGTTGGGAATTCTTAGATTATATGATGACAAGGATGGGATTCTGTGCAACTTGGAGGAAATGGATTCAGGAGTGCTTGGAATCGAGCTCGGTGTCTATTCTTGTCAACGGCAGTCCGACGAACCAATTCCCAGTTAATAAAGGCATTCGCCAAGGAGATCCACTATCCCCGTTCTTATTCCTCATAGTGGCAGAGGGCTTGAATGGACTAGTGGCATCGACAGTGGAGAAAGGGAGGTACAAAGGAGTGGAAATTGGGAGCGGAGATGTAATGGTCACACATCTTCAATTCGCGGATGACACAATCTTTTTTGGAGATGCAACGGAAGACAACATTCGGGTGATCAAATGTATTATGAGGACATTCGAGTTAGCATCGGGACTGAAAATTAATTTCAAGAAGAGCCAGTTGATTGGTGTGAGAGTTGATCAAAGTTGGTGTGCTAAGATGGCATTTCAGCTGTGTTGTAAGGAGGGGAAACTGCCATTAAGGTATCTGGGAATACCAATCGGAGGGAATCACAGAAGAAAAGCTATGTGGCAGCCGATGGTTGAGTCTGTTAGAAGGAAGCTAGCCAGCTGGAGGGGACAGTATCTATCTATGGGAGGCCATATCACACTCATCAACTCAGTGCTGTCGAGTCTGCCAGTTTTCTTGATGTCTACCTATGCTATCCCAAAAAGTATAATTCATACCATTGATAAATTGCGTAGAAGTTTTTTATGGGGGGGGAAGGGAGACGAGAAAAAAATTTATTGCATTGGATGGGATAAAGTGTGTAAAAAAAAAGAGGAAGGAGGTTTAGGAGTGAGGGACTTAAGGAAATTCAATTTGGCATTGATGGGGAAATGGTGGGGAAGGCTTGCAGAAAATGGGGAGGGCATGTGGAAAAAAATTATTGGTGCAAAATATGGAAAGGGAGGGGGGCATTGGCAGGACTGGATAAAGGAAAGTAGAGAAGTAGGATCAGCTTGGTGGAGGGATGTGTGTGGTATTAATGCAATGGATGGGGAAAGTATTGGATGGCTAAAAGAGGGATTTAGGGTTAAGATCGGGGAGGGTAATACGGTTAGTTTCTGGTGGGACAAATGGAGGGGAGAAGAAAGTCTAGCTAATATGTTTCCAAGATTGTACTTGCTAGCTACAGATAAGACGAAGACGTGTAGTGAAATGGGAAATAGAACTAATGGTTTGTGGGAGTGGAATTTATCTTGGAGAAGGAGTTTGTTTGAATGGGAAAAAGAGGAGGCAATGGAATTGCAAAACTCGATTCAAAATGTGCAACTGTCACAAGGATGCATGGATAGCTGGGAGTGGATACACAACAAGGACGGCCAATACTCAACAAAATCAGCATACTCAATATTGATGAAGGAGGGGAGGGAAGCAAGGGAAATTACAACCTTTTGTAGAATTTGGAACTCTGTTTTGCCAAGTAAAATTTCAGCATTCAATTGGCAATTGCTACTTGACAGAATTCCAACTAAAAGGAATCTGTTGACAAGAGGGATAATCAAAGACAATCAAGATTGCAAATGCGGAATTTGTGGTGAGGAAGAAGAGGATTCAAAGCATTTGTTTCTGGAGTGTAGTATGGTCCGATGGATATGGATGGCTTGTGCAAAATGGTGGGGTATCAATGTTACTTTGGGGGCGGACTGCTGGAATACCTTTCAAGTGGCTGGAAGAGAACTAAAAGAGAAAGGTGTTAGAGAAGGGTGGGATTGCATTTGGAATTCTCTTGTGTGGACAGTGTGGCTGGGTCGAAATCAAAAAACATTCCAAGGCAAAGAGATTAATAGGGAGAAGCTGCTGGAACTAATCCAATTAAAATCGTTCCTTTGGATCACAGCAAAAAAAAAAAGGTACGCCTTCACTTTAACGGATTGGTTCCTTAACCCAGTGGCATGCTTGAAAGATGACTGTAGAAAGAGAAGGGTTCCATATATATAATATGGGGGAGGGTTGGTATTGCTGATAGATGGATTAAGGTGCTATGTAATGGGGACTCACGTAGGATTATTGAGCAATCATTGACTGCAGTGGATCAGCTATAGTCAATGCATGATCAATAGCTTGTGGGTCAGTAGGTGTGTCGGGTGTGGGCTGTGGTCCTAAACAGGGAGATTTCTTGTGATTGCAAAAGAGAGCAGGTTTCTCGTCACGGGTGTAGTGTCGACACTTCTTCTGTGGTGTCGACACCTTGCGTTAATTTTTGTTGTACATCGGTTTGGAGTACCCCTTGTATTCCGCTTACTAATTAATAAAAGTTTGTTTGCTGTTCAAAAAAAATAAACGTAGAAACAACTTTGGAAGGAATCCTAATAGACTGGTCTTTACTCCTTGACTAATGATAGTTAAAAGAATCCAACAACCCTCTCACACCTTAATTATTTTACTCAATTATTTAGGTGTTTTTAACTTTTTAGGTTAAACATAAATTTTAGTCTCTCAATTTTAGAGTTTTATATAATTTTTTTCTATCAATTTTTTACACTTTTTTCATCTTTCAACTTTAAAAAATGTAGATTTTTTGTCATTTTATCAACTAGTCCATTAATTTTGTCCGAATGTATATATTTTTAATTTTTAAATTTATAATATATATTTTTAATACTTAAATTTATAAATTAAAAATGTGTATATATAAACTAACTTTGTAAATTAATTAATGGAAGGACAAAAAAGGTGCTTTTCTACCGTTGAGAGAAAAAAAAAGCTTAAAAAAATTAAGGAATAATCAATGTGCATCAACTTGAAGACCAATTTGAAATATACAAAAATATTATAAACAAATCATCTTAGCATAAGTAGAAAGTAAGAAAACAAATTTACAAGGAATCTAAAAATGAAAAAAAAAAAAAAAAACTCTGTGAATAATCTATATTTTATATGCTTTGATATTCTTTTTCTCAAAAATCAAAACTACTACAAAATTATAAAAATTGTAAAGTAAGCCCTTATAAGCTCTCTATATATTCATTAAGATAAAATGTTAAACAATTTCAATATACACAAAAAAAAAAAGGGGGGGGAAGAAGAGAGGAAGAAAGAGAGAAATTGGGGAAAAAATAATATATAATAATAAATATAAATACAATGAGTGAATGAAAAAGAATAATATTAAGAAAATAAGGATAAGGGAAAAAGATAAATAAGAAATAAATTACTGATATACGAAGAGAATAAGTAATTACTTGAAAAAATATATATTAACTTTAACTTGCGCATATTTTTTAGTTTATTTTAAAAAACACATTTTTTTTTTCCATAATGACCTATTGATAATATTTATTAACAATGATTCTCACACCACCAGTATAATATCAAATGTATATTGACATATTAATTTATGTCCTCATTTGAGTGAAAAAAAATTAATAAAAACTATGTCATGTCTTGTTATAAGATTTTGTTTATAAGAAATTTTGTTAACAAACCACTTTCTTATATTTATACTTAAAAAAATAAATTTAAATTCTCTCACACTTGATACTAAAAAAATTATATTAAAAACAGTCATTCTTGACTTCATCGTATTGGAGTCAAGGATCAAGGTCTTACTGAACTTGGTCTAATAGGCAATTTGATTAAAAAGGTGCTCCTCTCAATTCGTGAATTAAGTTCAAACCCTTTCTCCCTAAGTTGCCCTTGTTCAAAAAAAAAAAA